TTTTTTTTTTTTTTTTTTTTTTTTTTTTTTTTTTTTTGTCTTTTTTCCGTGTCCGGCAACGGATCGCAACCCTCAGTGTTGCCCCCGTACCGGACCGGGGACCGGCGACGGGATCGCAAGCCTCGGCATTGCTCCCGTGCCTCGCTCAGCCAGTGAGCGGGAGCCGGTCTGTACGTGGGATCCGAACCCTCGGACGGGAGCTCTGCCGCGCTTCCCAAGCGGGCGCACTATCCAGTGCGCCACCGGGCCGGCCCAGTGCAATTTCATTTTAACACACGTGAGGAATTTGAGATATAGAAATAAGTTACTTGGCTGGTTAGCCCAATTGGTTAGAGCACTACCTTGTAACACCAAGGTCAAGGGTTTGGTTCCCCAAGCCGGCCAGCTGCCCCCCCCCCCCCCAAATAAGCTACTTCTTAGATGGCAGAGCTAGTTAGCTGAAGAGCTTGAGTTAGTATCTAGGTTATTCCATAATTTTTTCCTCCACTATTTCTGGCTTTCCTGATCCTTAATTTTAAGCTGTGGCCTTAGGAATCCTGGGATGCCAAGAAATATTTGTGGTTATCTGTATTTTAGTTTAAAACTTGCCATTCCTTCTTTACTTCCATACTATAGGGCTAGGCATCCGGGGCATACTGATTCTGTAATGCTTTAAAAAGCTATCCTTACTTGTTATTTTAGCTAGATGTTTTTTAAAATCAAGTTAGCCCGTGGCTCACTCGGGAGAGTGTGGTGCTGATTACACCAAGGCCACAGGTTCGGATCCCATATAGGGATGGCTGGTTAGCTCACTTGGGAGAGCGTGGTGCTGACAACACCAAGTCGAGGGTTAAGATCCCCTTACCGGTCATCTTTTTAAAAAATAAATTAAAAAATAAAAATAAAGGAAATAAAAAATAAAATATCCCAGAGAGTTAAGTCAAGCAAGGTTTCTTCTACTCCTCCAACATGGTTGGGCGATGATTGTGCTGACAAGCCCCTCATCTGATATGCAGGATGACAGTGATGAAGTCACCATTACCATCCAGCAGCACTTATTTTAAACTGGTGTGGCCTAGGCATAGAAAAGGCAGACAAAAGTAAAATAACTTAGAGTTGCCATTGAGGATATCTAGTGAGCCAGCAGCACCCCCACAAGCAGGCCTTGCATGTATAGTGCCCTTTACTGGGCCTTGAGGGAGTTAAAAAGGAAAGGGAAGATCTGTCTACCTTGGGGAAGCTAAGACATGACAATGGCATACAGATAAATTAATGTAGTTCTTTTTTTTTTTTTTTTTTTTTTTTTTTTTTTTTTTTTTTTTTTTTTTTTTTTTTTTTTTTTTTTTTTTGGCAGCCAGCCAGTGTAGGGATCGAACTCTGGACCTTGGTGTTATCAACACCGTGCTCTAACCAACTGAATTAACCAGCCAGCCCCCAAGTTAAAATAGTTCTAAGCAGAGTTCCAACAGCCAAAGGGAAGAAGAGTCAGGAGATGAGTTGTTAGCTGGCTTTTATTACAGATGGATGACTTACTAGTAAAGATAAGGTGGGACCTCCCATGCATGTACAGCAGTATTTTAATTCACAAGTAATTTTTGAACACTCACTTTGCGATTGGAAATATTAGCTGTTGGGCAGATAAATAAAGTAAGAGATTGTGTCTGCCCTAGAGGAACTTATAGCCTCATTGAGACATTTCTACATATAATATAATGGAAAAGTGTGTATGATTAGTCAGGAAATAAAATTCTGAGAAGGGAAAATCCAACTGGACTCATTAGATACATATTAGCAGGGAAAATGGAAATTGAACTGAATGATATGTGGTTGCTGCTTTCAAGACGATTACATTCTGGTGGGGAGACTAAACATGAAGAGATCATATTACAGTGTTACACTTGCAGCAGTGGAGGTCTAGCTATATAGAGGAATAGGGAGCAATAACTGCTAAATATTTTGGTTACTTACTATGTGGCAAGCCCCATGCTAGGTGCTTAATTTACATCATATCATTTAATCCTCACAACAGTTCTATGAAGTAGGTACTCTTACTATTTCCATTATGCAAATAAGAAACCTAAGACAAAATAACTTGCCTAAATTCCAAGTCGCACAGAGAATAGAGGCAGGATTTACTCCACTGCCTGAAAAGGGATGGGGAAAAGAGTGGTCAGGAAGGATTTCGTGGAGTAAGTTCTGAAGAATGAACAGGATTTCTCCAGAAAGGTGAAAAAGGGCATTTTGGTAGAGGAACCAACACTTAGAGAAGGATGAAACAATGTGGACTCTGGTGTTTCTGCAGTTGCAATATCTGGTGAGTCGTGGAGAGTGGCTGGAGACCAGGCCAGGAACGTAGACAAGAGCCAGATTATAGAGGATATGACATGCAGGCAGGCCTACGAAGCACAGAAGGGATTACAAAGAAGGGATCTAGTCAGATTTCGTGTGTGTGTGCGCGTGTGTGCGCAGGCAAAGGCATGCATGGCTGGCCTGAACGGGGATCCAAACCCTTGACCTTGGTGTGTGTGTGTTTTCTGTTTTTTTGGTTTTTTGCAGCTAGTCGGTACTCAGATCTGTGTTTTAGGTAGGTCACTGCCAAATTGTGTGGATAAGGGATTTAAAGGGAATGGATTTAGTGATGGACTGGTCTAGGGTTAGGCTGCCTGGTTTTAAATCCTGATTTTGATATTTTTTGATAACCCTAGATAGGTTTCTTAAAATCTCTGCCTCAATTTACTTATTTGCAAAAAAGGAATGATGTTGTGCCATAAATGATGTTGTTGTAATGATTAAACAAGATAAGGCACATAAAGCCCTTGCTTCAGGGACTACAGTAGTGGCACAAAATTTGGTTCCTGTCTTCAAGGAGTTTATAGCCTATAGGGGGACATAATAAACATAGGTAGATAGGCAATTAGAATATAGGGCTTTGGTACTAAGATAAGGATAAACAAAATGCTCTGGAAGCATAGAGTTGGGGCATCCACCCAATTTGAGGAGCTGAGGGAAGAATAGTCAGGTAAATTCTTTGACAGAAAGTAGCTTCTAAGCTGAAATCTGATGGAGGAGTAGGACTCATTCAAGGAAAGGAGTTAGATTGGGAAAGGGGTCTTCCAGGTGGAAAGAAGAGTATGTTAAAAGATTCAGAGATATTACATTCTGGAAACTGGAAATAATTAAGAGTAGTGGTGGTAATCATGCGGGGTGAGGTCAGAGATGGGTAGAAGGAAGCAAGAGTCAAATCACAAAGGGCACCGTGGACTTGAGAAGCTGCTGTTTAAAGATTTAGAGCCAAGGGAATGAGAACGGTCAAATTGGCTCTTTAGAATAATCTTTTTGACTACAGTGTGGGGGAGAGATTGGAGAGGGTAAAATTTATGTATTAGTGGTGCTGATAATGGGATGGAAGAGTTGAGAAGGGAGTGGCTAGAGTGAGGAGGAAGATGATGAGTTCAATGTGGGGCATAATAAGTTTGAAGTAATGATGAAGCACCTAAGGGAGAATTCACCATTACCATGGGCTAGTTGAATTATGCATAAAACAGACTTTATTGTGTTGCTACAATAATCCAGGTGAGATATGATTTGGATCTAAAGAAGATAATGACAGTGGGGATAAAGAAGAGTGGACAGATTCTAAGGATAGATGGGAGGTACAGTCAACAGGATTTGTTGTGGAATGTGGG